TCCTAAGGGGTAACTCATCAAAGTAGAGCCCTATGAGCGAAAATTTTGTCCGTTTTGCTCTAGCTTGAACCGTCGAGGCGCTAGAGGGTGTTTTTGACGAAAATAAGCGAAAAAATGTACAACCCTGCATGATCAGTCGAAGTGACGGGCGTTGACGGGCCGGAGGCCCGTATCTTTGTGCACATTTTGGCACTACCTGACTCGGGTGTCAGCGCCGCAGGCCAAGGTAGATGCATGCCAGGCGCGTCGCAGCGTAACAGTGTTTCGTGAGCTATCGCGAAGCCTGTTACGCGAGACGTGGTCTGGCGTACATCTACCTTGTGAGGTATTATGGGTATTATGGGTATTATGGGTATTATGAGTATTATGGGGTATTATAAGGGTATTATGGCGACGTGTACTGAGTATTATGCGAGTCGGAGACCCCTCGCCCTTCGTGTTACAAAAAGGGGCTTCCCGACTTTAATAGGGTATTTCACCCAGTTTAAACCGGATCCAAAGAAGAACAATAATGCTTCCTGAACTGTTTCCTCCCTGGCGCTCATTGGCTCACGCGGACGAAGTTCTCGCACCCGACACTAGGGCACTCGCTGACCTGGTGGCGGGTTCACGAACTTCGTCCGCGTTAGCCAATGAGCGTCAAGGAGGAAATAGTTCAGGAAGCATTACTGTTCTTCTTTGGATCCGGTTTAAACTGGGTGAAATACCCTATTTAGGGTGTTCATACGGATCCATTCTACTGGATTCTGCAAAAAAACGTTTTGGTTCAATTTGTTGTGGGTGCATACGGGGTTTCGCCTTCGTTGACTGGACTATAGCAGATTTAAGGTGGATACAGAGTTCATAAAACGCAAGCGTGATTTTTACGCTCACGCTTCGTAAGCTTCACTTAGCCAGGCAGGAACTGACTTTCACGCGGCGTGAAAATCACACCGGGCCTGAAAATCACACGGGGTGTGAACATCACGCTGAGCGTGAAATTCACGCTCAGCGTGACTTTCACACCTGGCATCATGAAAGTTAGTTCCTGATTGACTACCTAAAGCTTGTGAAGCGTTAAAATCACGCTTGCCTTTCCTGAACTCTGTATCCACACTAACTTACGAGATGGTTGGATGGTTGTCGTTGAATTTACTAACCTGTTGTCACCTTCACTAGTAACACTGGTTGCTGCTCCTTTCTGGCCGCAGGCGACCATCCCTAGGAGAAGGGCCAGGCTGCCGCCGGCGAGCAGCAGGCGCAGACACATCGTCCGGATGTGTTTCCACACAAGCGAACAGCTTACCGCGAGTGTAAGCGGAAAGAGACGCTGATTCTGCGACAGCGTACGACTGACTGGGTCAACGGATACAGCCCAACCCAACCGAGCTGGGCCGGGACGAGACCAGCCCACGCTGAGGAGCCTATCAGCGTAGCGGCCGCACCCAGGGGAATACCGCGGCGAGTCGGGAGGGAGAAAATTAACGAAA